AAATCAATTCTCGGGGATTTATGCGGATGATAATCTAATAGTTTCTTTTTACTTAAGAAAACCTTTCCAATGCATGTGGGCCGCTTTCCCATTAGATGGAAATTGTTCATGAATTTGAGAATATTTCATGCGTCATGTCACCTGGTAGTTTGACCGTCGTTATCGACGATGTTCACCGTGTACTTCACATCAAGGTGAGCTCAGGTACGGTGACTTGAACGTGATTTAGTCTATAGTGAGTTTAGACTTGCGTAGCATCAACCGCACTCCCTACCCCTCCCTCGCCTGGGCCCGGTGTCAAGCCATAGTCAAGAAGACCGGAGGCGGTAGAGGGCGCAGGTGGCTGGCACGGCCGAACCCGCACCTAGACGTACCACCACAATCCCTCTCTGGTCCACAACTAACACGTGACCAGGATTTTAACTAAAAACAAAAACGGGTCAGAGAGGGGAGGATGACTGGGTAACCATGCAAACGACCTGGATACCCACCGGGTGCGCAAGCGCATCTACCGCCAGGGAGCCAGACGTCAGAGAACTGCCGGCGCACACCAAGCTGCGAGGGCCCTGGTTTTCTGAATCATGGCATAGCAGACTTGAAGAGGGAGACACGATCGCTGGGACAAGAGCTTTATTAGCCTGACGTTTTGGATTCCTACTCGAACCCATCATCAGAGACGAAAGTAGATACGGGTGGTTCATGCACAAGGGGCTGCAGTATTTACAGGATGCAGTCGCCATGCTACCGCATACCTATGAATATTCACGGCTCCCCCCGACTTCATCAGGGATCGTTGGACGTGGTGTGATGGCTGTTTGATGGTCAACATTCGCGTTTTTAATTGCTGAAATTTCATCACGTACGTCGGATGTTGGTGTGATGATTGCTCGACCATCTGACACACTGACCCTGGTGTTGGGAAAAGCGTTTACCTGTGCGCTCCCCGCGTGGCCAATTACTCCGCCTGGGCGAAGTCTCAGCACCGAGTATGGAAGGGGACGTTCATTGCACATGTTAATGGACTGGGGGACAGTAAACCATGACTCAAGCAGCTCCCGGTTCACGCGGTTGTCACCTCTTGGGAGAATTTCAGCCTCGTCAAATCTGAATGTATGGCCGGATCTCGTCGAATGAACCGCAACTTGGGAGCTAGCATTATTTCTCCGCACCGCTGCAGTGTGTTCGGCCATTCGCGTTCGGAGCTGTCTTCCGGTTTCTCCGACGTAGTTGCTTTGTCCGCAACTGCACCAGATCCGAAAACGACCCCAGACGTTTCTAGCCGTGGCAGCGGGCCTTTCAGTCTCATTAACTGACGCCTGATGGTTGCCTCCGGCCTGTGTACAATCCCAACCCCAGGTCGTGCAAGAACGCGGCTGACAGCTTCCGAAACGTTCTTGACATACGGAAGCGCTCGCCAAAATTTGGTGTCCATGCGGTTAGGCCTTTCGTCCTTTTGCGTATGAACCGGTTGACGAAGTTGCGCGGGTAGCCATTGGCTTTGAAGACCCGTCGGAGGTATTGCCGCGTGGGCCGTGGTTTTCTGAATCATGGCATAGCAGACGCACACAATCCTTACGCTCCAGAAGGGTGACAGACAGCCCCGAATTTAGCCCGGGCCATCGCCCTACAAAGGCCGGGTAACCAGTCGGCCATTGACTGAGAGACACTACCCCACGTCATCTACTCTATGTCGATAGGCGATGCGTGGAACTCTCATCTTATGGCAAGATGTCACTTATGTGCGGGAAGAGGTTTCTACTCCACCGTGAGGTCAGACATCACGACCTGACCGGCTGGGTAGTTGAACTGGCCTACCAGCGTCTTCCTTGGCCCTGCTCTCATACTAAAAATCACAAGAATTGTCCGCCCGGCTAACAGACACGTCCGTAGTTCGCAGTAGAAAGGCGAGGGCGTCATGATCCCGTCGTCCCATTCACACAAAACGTCCTCGACACAGGTGACGTTTAGCCTGGCAACACACAAGTTGAGGCAGTGTGTTGCGCTGCGAACACCGGTTGACTGGGACTGAGAGGGCAAAACCCGATCTGAGATTGATTTTTGGGGAAAAGACCTTGGATTTTAAATGGGGTCGCTGAAAACGGACTTCACCTAAGCGTAAAATGCCAAGCTTACAGTAGTTTTAGTCGAAAGCGAAACAGTCGCAGTGCGGTTACAGGAGACAGAGTTTCAACAGCCATATCTCCATCACCCACCATTCAGATGTATGGCGTGCGCCGCGCCCGATGGAACAAGCCCCAAAAATGTGCCCTTTGTGGGCAGCCCTACTCCCCTTGCCATCTCGAGGATCGTAATTCGGTAGCTAACTTGATTAACGCCCGAGGGGTTGCTTCCAACGCAGTCCCAAGGGAGGGCTGAAGTTAGCAATGGTATGCGATAAGGACGGGTATTTGGTCTCGATGCCCCCGGTAAAACTCTCGTCGTGAAATCGTATTGGCCCCTGGGGGCATTCACTTGCCACAAAAACAAAGTGCCTTTTCTGGTTAATTCTTTTTAAGAGTTAGTAGGCCAAAAAAGACAGATTTAATTCGAAAAATTCGGGAAAAATCTTGGGGACTGAGTTGGAAAAATTAACTTTTCTTTTGGCGAGTGCACACCAATCACTTAAGTGGCTCTGTGAAGGGAGACTTAGTCCACCGTGCGCCCCGCAAAATAACGGGCACAGGGGCCCCATTGGAAGCGTCGATGAGGGGGTCAGTTCAAAACCTGGCTCGACGCACTTCTTTAAGACATGGAAGTGGTTCTTGGACCCTTGGTATTCGGTCTCCGTCGTCGGCGAAAGTAATGGGTTGAGCTGTCCAGATCTGCAGCCGCAAATCGTCACGCGTGGAGAGGTACAGTTCGTGACATCATCGAGGCCGGCTAGATCAGGCATGATCGCAGCCGTATCAAGTAAGTAAGTACATGGACGGAGGCTCGCGCGTCGAAGAGCGATCTTAAACGCATGATGAGACAGCATTTGCGGTACTCGTTGGGCAAGACAGTTCCCGCTTACCTTAACAAAAAGTCCATGGCTCATCTGCCACGTCGACTGGCGTGGGGCAGGACTCCGGTTCTGAGAAACCAGTTGACCGAAAGAACAGAAGACAGCTTGGCTGTCGTTACCGACGATGTCCACCATGTGCCCCATAGCATGATGGGCGCAGGGACGGCGACTTGTGTGTAAATTAGATAACAGTGGTAGTGGGTTTGCGCCGCATCTACCGCAGTCGCGCCTCCACTATCCACCTGAGCCCGGTGCCAAGGCAGAGTCATGAAAACCGGAGGCGCGATTGAGCACAGCGGCCAACGAAGCTAAACGGCCCGTCAGTGCGTGTTGCGTGCGCTTGGTCTGCTAACTATAGAATAGGTTTTCAAAAAAACAAGAAAAGGGCGGCTCGGATACCAGCTGAGTGGGAGTGCCGTTGAGACTACATTAAGGGGGAGCCACTACAGCCTGTCTGTCTGTCAGGCGAGGAGGACCGAGCTGCCCCGTCATTTGCCAGCCATCCAAGCTACGACTGTTGGCGTATCACGACAAATTAAAGGCGCGTTTCTCTCGCCAAACCTGTTATTCGTAGAGAACCTTTTGTGTTGAACGAGTCAATAATATCTGGGCCGCGCGACATACCGTGCAAATTGCTGAAGTAACTCGCTGGATAGCTATCCAAACCGCTGCCCATGCCCTTCCAGACCTCGAAAGCAGTGTTCGAAACTGAACACACGAAAGTTCTTTTTCCCCAAGGGAATGGTTGAAGCTTGGAATGCTCTGCCTGTAGAGCTCGTTACGTCTACATCTATCGATGCGTTTAGGCGTAAGCTGGATCAGGTCACCCTGCTCGATGTCGTCTAGGCGCACAGTTCCAACATGTAATTGCTATTATTATCCTACTGTCTATGTTTCAGTAACGTTTGTTATCTTTTCTATTTTTATTCGTCTCCAATTCTTTGCACACGAATACCGACATTTACTTCGGCTCCTTCAGATAACTGAACTTGTGCTGCTTTTTCTATAGTACAATTATCCGTACACTGACTACTGTCAATGCACTTAGTCGTGTCAGTGTTTATAACACTCTCCACTCCCTAATCCAACTGAGCCAGGTGTCAAGGCAAAGTCAAGCTGGTCGGAGGCGGGATCGGATACAGTGACCGACAAGGCCAAACAGCCCGTCTGTGCGTGCCATACAAGCCTGGTCCACACACTATGGGGCGGCTCGAGTCCCAACTGAATGGGAGTGTCATAGAGGCCACATTAAGAAGGAACCAATGCAGCCCGGCTCTCAGTTCTGAGAAGGATCGAGTTATTTCGTCTGTTGGCAAACTCCCACGCTACGGCTTTTAGCACGCCATGATAGTCTAAAAGCGCGTCAGATTGCTAATTGTGAGGAATGATTCAAAGCAAACGGCAGTATAGTTCAGACGACGAAGCCCATTATACGTTGCTCAGAAACCCCAAAACCAGTATTTGGATAGAAGAAATTACTTCGTGTGTGTTTCACCACTTATGCGTGTGTAAAAAACTCTTATACCCCAAAGCACTTGTGGCAATACCATTCCACCCAGTCGTTATTTTGTGCGTATGTTGTTGCCGCTTGTTCGGGGGCTTAGTTAAGTCAGGCATGTGTCACAGGATGAATGGACGACAATTTCTCCTGGAAATAACCAACTGAAACAAGCATATGGTCTGATCTAAAAGATACCACGTTGCAGACTTTGAGAAGGCTTTTTGAAGGGACAGGCTTCCTGATTTCGCCAACTGCTTTGATATATACAAAAATTTGACGAGTTTCAGGTGGTCCTTAGGAACGATTGTGGATTATGAAAATTTTAAAGGCCCAAGCATTTTATACTTCCAGATAGTGAGCAATAAGAGGCAATTTCCGATATGGCGACAGGAGGAGGCCATGCGTTTGACAGTTACCCGCATAGCGAAGCGAGCTGACGAGCATGGCCACCCGTTAAAATGACAAAAGACTGTCTACTGAAATGGAAAAAGTAGGCTAGTTTTGCAATGTTTTGCGACATACCTTCTGGAGAATGTGATTGAAATTTACGCCGAGTTCTGTACAAAAAATAAAACGAGGGAAGGAATTTACAAGACGGAGACGTAACTGGCAGGTTAAAGACCTCCTACTTTGACACATTTTATCAACGCAGTCAAAACAGTCCAAACACTTGGTCACCAAGAGTGAAAGAGGTTAGCAAAACAAACCTTCCAGCAGTGGCGGTTCATCCTCAAAATCGAAATCTGTCGACATGTTTCCCTGTGGAGGCATTGAGGGAGTGAAGTAGGTGGTTGGGTGTGTTGGGGCTCCGAACGCTGGCAGATGTGATCCCTTGGGATCCTGGTAGGAATACTGAGCAAACTGCCTGAAAAAATTTAAAAGCAACTACATAGAGTGACCAACCATTCCTGTTGTAGACGCGCATAAGTGATAGAAAGCGTGTTAGGCATCTGATTAATCTACGAAAGAATTCCCTTTTAGGAGACTTAAAAGCATACATGTGAATATAACTTGCATAACATCACGTCAGGCTCAGTTATAAGTGCACAAACATGTGCATCTTTCTTCACGTGAAACGTACATGTAATTCGGGTCATAGTATCCTTGGTTTTGACCGTGACCTGGCGGAAGGAATTCGTGTGCGGACATATCCCAAAGCGGCCAAGAGAAGCAGATCAAACTGTGGAACTGTAGGGAGAAAGCATTTGACGGTACAGTGGTTTTTCTCATAAGCATCATAAGATGTTGAAAGTCGAATTCTTGGACATTGTGGGTCATCTTGCCACCCATAGGTAAGGTTAAAAAAAACTAATACAGAGATGAGGTGGAAAATGTGTGCTTGACAAAGAAGGCTAATTGTCGAAATGCGGTAGGGATACCACTTGTTACAACTGGACATCATGTCAAAATGTTGGAGAAGATGATGCGGCCTAATCAACGTCGTCGTCTGAAGACTAAACTTCCTGGTTCAGCCAACTAGGGTTTTGAAATGTACAAAGTGTGCCTTTCAGTTGATATTATCATTCAACGACACTTAAAAACGATCAGGCAGTTTGCTGGTCGAATGCTGGACGTTGTCAATCCCTGCATTCTGAATTAATCTCTGCAAAGTCCTCACGACGCATACGCCGTGGCCTTCGACATATCTCTTGCCGTACACGAACACATCAGGATTGTGTGTTGCCATTTCCGGCACGCTATCTTACGTATGAAGAGACCGAAATAGAGAAACTGAGATTTGAACTGTCCATCCCAATATATGTTCTTTTTGCGTAAACCTTTTTGACTCTTGCGTAATTTGTTAATTTATATTCTGTCCACATTGAATGGGGCTTCTTTTTAGCGAAAATTTTGGATGATGCTGCCGAAATAAAGCGTATTATGGTAGGGGCGCTCACCGATCGTTCTTACGGAAATCACTCGTCCCGTTGTACCTTACGGACTTTGTCAGTAATAACATACTGCCTATAAAGCGTATTCCTCTCACTCCCTCCCTCCCCCTTCTTCTCTCCCTCTCTCTGCTGAGTTCTTTGGAAAGACGCTTAGACGCACTTCAGCCTTCAGGATGCAGCGCGTCCGAGTGAACAGAGATGCATTCTATGTGGTAATGTTGTAGTCGGACATGGAAATTTTCCGAAATGACCGACGTTCTCTGAAATATGCTAGAGCCCCAGTGAACTCAGGCGTACTGGTAAGCTTTCACCTGTTTTCCGCGAGGGAAACAAGATAAGTACGGCGATATTGGGCTTCCTTCGCAGATCACTCATAAAGATGTCACCGTACAGTGCGCACGCAGGAGCTTTCGTGAAGTTCTAGAAAGCATCCGGTCAGACGTGGGACGAGGGTTCAAAGGGTTCCCAGGAGCCTAAGTGAAGGGTGGTCAGGATCATCATTTATGTCGCCGTCTCCAATTGCTTCTTTTGAAATGCAGTGACAGTTCGATCATCGATTTCGACTATGTCCACCGTTTGCTACACAGCAGGGTGGGGGCAGACAAGATGACTTGCCCGTGATTTATTTTACGGCGGTAACAGACTTGCGCAGCATCTACCCCACTCTCTCCTCCTCCCCCACCTGGTCCCGGTGTCAAGACATGGTCAGCAAGGCCAGAGGTGGGAGTGGACGCAAATGGCTGGCGTGGCCGGAGCCGCCCCCAGGCGTGCCGCCACACCTGGCGCGGATCCCACAGAGTGGACGTGCGGTCGGACTCTCAGACCACCAGTCGGCCGCTCCATACAGGCACACAATGAGCCGACTGCGAGGTCCAAGTTATCCCGTCAGATGGCAACCTTTCAAACCACGGCTCTTAGCGCATCGTGAAAGCTTCAAGCGTGTCAGTAAAATGATAGATAATCAATCATCGGACGTCGGGCAGTGTCTAACTTGAAGGTCTTCAGTTACTCAAAGTATGGATCACTCGGTTTTGAAAAAGTTTGGTAGTTTGAGCAGTATTTACATATTTTTATCAGTTGTGAACTTTTGGAAATTTCAAATTATCCGATATGCATGCTTTCAGAGTTGCTATAATGTGATGATGTAGATGGAATGACTGGTGTGTGTTTTGTGCGGAAAACAAACTGCATACAGTAGACCGAGGGGTACTAGTATTCTATATGCAATCATCAATGAAGCAATTACAAAAATAGACTTCTTGTCATTTTTTTCTAGAAAAACTTGGCGACTCTACTGAGGCCGCAAAGAAATAATGGGAGATTATGTGCTACTTTGGTAGTTAGCTCCGCAAGAAAGAACACCATGGGTGGCATTTGGTTTTCCTGATGGTGAGCTAGCACGCAACAACGCATGAAATAACGTGAGGTAATTTCTATGCTCCCCAATACTACTAAAGCGTGACGATGTTTTTCTCTGATTGATAAAAAATCAGTCGGTTTAATAAGGTTAGACAGGGGCGTAAGACCACTTGGTTCGATACACGTAACATTGACCCAGCGTACTTTTGAAGATATCGGATGAAATGGCCATCACACGACCAGAATTTGATCGTGGATCTCGGCAGACATGTTTGCCAACGGCCGATGTAATTAGTATGAGACCTACAGTACAAAATGGACAAATGTCAGCGCTTCCGACATCTAGACGGCTGATTATGCGGGTCTTAGTCCGATTTAGTTTGAACCTTTGGCTTTCAGCGTTTCGAAACCGGGTGAGTTCTGCTGCAGACCTTATAGACGCATTTGCACATCGAACTCTTCAAAGGAATCAGTAATCAGACCCCTATTTTATACGTCGCACTGGCTTTTTATTATGGATCCACCTAAAGAATCTCAATCCTTAATGACACAGTTGATCAAACCACCAGTCCCGCCGTTGGGATACCAAGTGCGTGAAATGCAGCCCTGGTCGCAGGTGGTCCTGGTCTGTGAATTGATCGACCATTTCAGTGACGGCGGCTACCAAAGTCGGAGAGTCCAGTACAGGTCTTTATGGGTGGGTTGTCAGATTCAGTTTGCTTCTATTCTATTCTTCATGCATTACACACATGCGTGAATCACATATTGAAGAACTCCCATTCCAAAAGAACCTCCAGGGTTGGGTATGACTGGCTGACGACGGCCAATAAGCCAGAAATGGCTATTACAAGCCCCCTTGTCTTTGTCGGTAGTGTCATTCTGCCTATATCATGCCCCGCTGTGCGGCTGCTGGTTGGGCTCGAGAGAGAAAGCCCATAAGACACAACGGGACGAGTGAGTTCCGTAAGAACGATCGGTGAGTGCCCCTCTACGACCCTTGTGATATCCAAACCCTCAGTATATGGCGCACCCAACACTTAAACCCGGATTCAATTAGTCATCTAGCATTCGAATTCAACTGTCTGTTCATTTGAGTGATTGCAAAGTGTGCGTAACTCTAAGACAACCCAGCCAAGTATCGTTTTAAACTTGGACGTGAAAGTGCCGACCACGGTTGATCGCTAAATTCTGCTGCAGCTAGCAGCAACAGAAGGTCGTCTGCTTTTTTGACCTTCGTCCAAACTGAGTCCCCGTAGAGGATGATGGAGATAGGTGGTATGGTGCCATGGTATATGGCATAGCCGACTATAATTCAATGTACGACAATATATCCCAGCCAGTCGGTACTCAGTCTGGCATGTCAGAAGGTTAAATCCTGTGGCCATTTCGATGGCACCATATCTACAAGAGGACACCGGTCGACTGACCTCGGCGACGCTGCTGGCGTCAAGTCCATCTGATTTAAGGAACGCAGTGTGGCGAATAAAGGATGTTACTCAGTTGGTCGGTTTATTGACTAACCCTGTGAAAACTAAGGCATTTTTCAGCTGCATCTCTATATGGGAGGCATTTTTCATGACTATTGGTTGTCAGCTTGGGGTAAATGGTTTCAAATACCTCAGAACCATGTTGTTGTCAGAGGACAGAGGGAAGATATTATCATTCGAATCTACGCTGCTTACGATGTTTTCACAAGCTCTTCCAGATTTACCTGGTCCCTCCGCGATACCTTGATGACCAAAGAGCCACATATATCAGAAATCCGTCAGGCGAACCCTCCTGTATACAGTTATGAATGTTTGGTTCTACTCACCGAAAGAAAGTGAGAATTGATGGTTATCGACCAACGCCTCTGAGCCATCCTTCGACTGAAGTGCAAATTCGCCTCGAATGACATAGTTCGGACTCGATACAACATCACATGGATATCTCAAGCTATCTGAAAAAGACGACTCAAGTAATTTGCACCAGTTCGTCGTCACCCGCCGTTAATCTGACGCCGCAACTAAAGTTTAGGTGACAAAGAGACGTATTGCGTCGAGCGTGACGGTACTTCTCAGACCCACGGTATGTATTCTTTACCCCTGAAGAAGAATGCTGATGAAACCATCCAGGGCTGCTCCCGCTGGTCTTAGCACGTGGAGAGGTACGGCCCACAACATCGATGAAGTCGGTTAGACTAGACATGATCACAATCGTCAGGGATACAGTTACGTATGAGGTAAAGCTGGCGCTTCCGTGATTTCTTCAAGGTACTCGGTTACAATTTCCAACAATTATGATGCCAACGTCAGAGTGACAATTTGACACTCGGAGGGACATACAAACAGCTTACTCAAGCACGTACACACTTCCACTGAACAGCTAACTAGTAGATCCTCGGGCCTTCCAACAATAGTACTCGGACAGTCTGGATGTGGAGTCTGTGACCTGTCTAACAAGGACGATAGGGTATATTGAGCGGTGACATTTGCTGTAAACAGTAAACCTGCCCTTCGACACATCAGACTTGTTCTTTAATAGGACCGACGCCATTTTAGGACAGTTCTATTTAGGTCCCATCGTCCAGTAAAGGTTGTGGTTGTCACCAACGCGGTGCATATCTTCTAGCGCTTTTGGTTTTCTAACCATAGTCCTGAGTAGCGATGCTCTGCCTTAAAGTACTCAGAATTCCTCCAGGTGTCCAGCGGACACTTCTAGAGTTCCCCTGTTCCAACAAAGATTTCCACATCCGCCCGAGACTTTCAACGGCAAATTTGTTAAACTGCGGCCACGAGGGTTTGGGTGGAGCGCTGTAACACCGACTTAGATGCACTAAATAATGGCTTCAAATTGTTCTTTGCTTTTTGTTCCTCCTGTATTTCGATCTGTACCATGAACCGATTAAGTATTTTATAC